AATATGTCTGAGTCTTTAATTAGATTGGATAGCCAGCGGGGGAATTAATGCGCCCAATAGACCCACAAAACTTTGCCGAAAAGCCCAAATGTTTTTGAATTCAAAATTAAAAAAAAAAAATGAATGTAATAGCACAATAGTCGCAAATGTTATCATAGTCGTAAAGTGGTCGCACATACAATACTGTTTTGTGACTATTTTTTGTAGTTGCAAATCGAAACCATAAACCCTAAACATTTAGAAACAAAATTGTGAGCCATCTAGTGTTCCAATTAGTTGTTTGTCGATTAAGAGGGTTTTCTTTATGATTATATAGTGCAAAATGTTGTTAATACAATGAATTCACAATGATATAACATTTGAACAAAGATTATATTGAAATATCAAATAGGTTATCCTAATACATCTAGTGGATCACACAAAAAATAATTTTAAAATAGAAATTTTTAAAATTTGACTGTTATACGATATATTTAGTGTAACATATAGTTCACCTATATGTACATATCTAAAATTAAACTTTTTAGTTGAAATCATTTGTTAAATTTTTCAAAACATTACAGAGAGTTGCTAAACAGTCACAAATACAAGTACGTGTCGCAAATTAGTCACAAATATGATACTGTTTTGTGACTATTTCTTGTAGTGGCAAACCGAAACCATAAACCCTAAACATTTAGAAGCAAAAATAGATGACTGTTGAACAAAGTGAAACATATGAAAAATAGTTGTTTAAATTGAGTTACTTTCTGAACAAAAAAAATATACATAGCATTTATTTTACACTACTTATAACTAGTCATATATATAACAAAAATTTTGGAGGGATAAATTCCCGCTCAAAAATCCAAATTATTTCACAAAAATTTCAAATCATTTGAAAATGCTAAAAATAGAAAAGTCACAAAATAGTCGCAAATATGTGACGATAGAATAAAGTAGTCACAAATTGGTGACTGTTTTGTAACACTAATTTGCTAGTCACAAATCTATGACCTAAACCCTAAACATTTAAACCTTAAAATTGATACACATTGTTAATCGATAATTCTTAGTATATTTATAAAGTCTATGCTTGATTATGTAGTGCTGAATAATACTAATTAAGTGAAGTTTGAAAAACTATATACTTCAACAATCATTAGATTGCAAACATATATGTAATATAAAGGCAATTGTTATGTAAGATGCAAATATTAGATAACTTAAAGTTTATAAAATTTTGTTAAATAAAAAAATTTACTAGTTGATAATATATTAGTGTAACTAGCAGTTGTATCTATGTAGAAACCTAAAACTAATTTATTTACAATAATTTTTGATGAATTTCTAAAAATCATATGGATTAGTCACAAATTAATAGCAATGTAGTGGCAATTATGTGACTATTTTGCGACTATACTTACTGACTAAAACCGGAGTCACAAAACAGTCTCAAATCTATGACTGTTTTTTATCTCTGTCCTAATTCAGTCGCTAATTAAAGACTATTAAACGACTAATATTTTTGGTCGTAAATATGCGACTATTTTGTGACTGTATATGCGGTAGTCACAAAACAGTCACAAATTAGTTGTAAAAGAGTCGCAAAAATTTGTAACTAAAAATACAGTCACAAAAAGTAGTCACTAATAATTTATTTTTTTGTAGTGAGATGGTCATACCATATATTTTTGTGTTTTTTTTTTTCAGTATCAAATGTTTAGCGACGAAGATTTACAAAGCATTGTAGGGATGGGAGTGGCACATAATTCCAACCATGAATCTCAATACATGAAAATTGCGCTTTGATCAACAAATATTTGTTTCGAGGTCTCAAAGAATAAACTAAGAAAAAGGATTGATGGGAGCACATAATCATACCAATATCTGTGATTCATTCATATACTCATCATCTCAATATATATACATTTTTTTTTCTATTTTACACTTGTGCTAATCATATATGCTAGACAAAGCGTTTGAAACGGTTGTTTGAATCTTATTTTTCACGATTGTAAAGTATTTTCCAAATACTCCAAAACATGAGCACTTACATGTAAAAATGCACAATATCCTTT